CGTCTTGGCGCAGAATCCCTCGAATAGATGGCAACACCATTCATTGGTGAAGCCACTTCTTCTGTTTAGACATAAATTTGAAGGAAAGTTTCTCCATATCCCTGTACCCTTGGTACTGTTCAGCGACTGACCACAGGACTTTCCATTCCACAAATTTCACGGACACGCATATCGCATGCAATCGATGGGTCTTAGCGGAGTCGAAAATGGAACCCCGACCGTTCGGGACCGGAGTTCGATTCTCTAATTACTGGGGTCCGCAGTGGACTGATCGTTAAGACCCGGTTCCAGGAGTACACCGAAGTCAAGCATAACTGGCTGTGGTCAGTGTGCAGGTGGGTGACCACTTGGATCAGTCTACGAAGGGACCGAGGGTGTGCGGTATTGATCCTCGTTAAACTTAGTCAGCCATATACGGGATTCGAACATGGAGCTTCCTGTCAAAGCAACTATACCCTGACCGAACCAAGCCTCCTACTCTAAAAGCTGCTAATCTCTTACTTCTTCCTATCAGAAATCAATAATCTTCATAATCACAAGCTTTTTGTTTTGCTTAGTGGTCAAGAGCCTTATTATTGTCCTTCTTGCCTATTGTCCCTTTATTATGTTGTAATTTTGAATTTTCTGATAAATAACAGTAATTAGTTTGGAGTTCGAGGTTTTTTTCCCATCAATTTCATTAAATCAACACATTATTTTTAATGATAAGTTGTAGCTTATTTTATTTTTGTTGCGTTTGTTAACGTTAAATCTCTTTTATATATCCAGCTGAGCTTCAAACTTAATCACTTCAAAGTAAAACTCGTTAAAATTTTCCGAATTTTTTCGAATTATTTTCTGGTATGTTCCAGATTTTATACAGAAGTCACATAAATTTTAAAAATATTTATTCCAGAAACTTAAAAATGTACAAATTTTTATTCATCATGGTACATCCTACGTATTGAAGGAAGAACGCTAATTTTAAAATTTCCGCATACAAATTAAAAAGGTTAATTATACGAAAAAAAGAACTAAATGAGTCATTTTCAAGATGCTGTTGTTGTTGTTAATTTACGTCGCACTAGAGTTGCACAATGGGCTATTGGCAACGGTCTGGGAAGCATCCCGGAGGATGATCCGAAGACATGAGACATGCCATCACAATTTTGATCCTCTGCGGAGGGGTGGCACCCCCGCTTCGGCCCGACGACCTGCACTCGAAGTCGAGCACTTTACGGTAGAACAATTTAACAAGGACCAATACCGCACACCCTCGGTCTCTACGCAGACTAATCCAAGTGGTCACCCACCCGCACACTGACCGCAGCCAGTGATGCTTGACTTCGGTGATCTGCTGAGAACCGTGTTTTTGTGATATGTCCACTGCGGGACTAAAAATAAAAATAAAATACAGAACTAGGAAAACCGCGGCAGGCGAAGACATGTTTTCTAAGGTTAGTTGCTAGATACACTTTTGACTTTCTTTAACACTTAGTATTCCTTTTCTATTGAAAAGAAGTTTGAAAGTTAAAAAAACGAAATGGATCAATATTATGACATTTTTCTACAAGAAATCTCAAGCCTTTATCCAATAAATTCTTCAATTCAGCTACCGTGTCTTATCAGTCCAGTGTATCAGTTTAGATAAATACACTGGAGTCCAAAATTGGCGATCGAAATGGGCGACAAGTGGCGTAGAGCAGAACTCTCTATCTATGGCAACACTTCGCATGCTTTCACCTTTAGCGTGTGGAGAGTCATAGAAGAAGGAAGTACGTTAGTTTTTGTCTTGATTTTTAAATAGATTAAAATCTTTCAAGTTAGGAAACTATATGGAACTGAAAACTACATTAAACATAGTTCTGAAAGAAAGCGTCATGGAAATTTAAAAAAATATTTTTAACAGTTTAATACAAAAAATATTAAGAAAAGGAAAATATCGTTACATTCCTATGGATGGTGTTTTCTACACTAGGGAACGCTGCAAGATCGGTACCGCCTAAATTTCCGGGTTACTGTTTCCGTTGTATTTTAAAGCCATTTGGCATCGTTGTGTTTTGAGATTCTTGCAAACAATGTATTTGATTACTTATTACTTGTGTTTACAATGCTAACAATACTTGTGTTTACAATACTAAAAGTGTTAACACTAACGTAAGATGGTGCACAGCTTGCAACACGAACAAACAGTAATAAACAAATGGAAAGAGGCCAAATCAAGACTGCCAAAAAAGCGAGTTATTCAAAATCTAGCAACCATGTCACCTTTTTTAATAATAAATAACAAAATAACTAAAACAAATTTTCACTCCAAACTCCCCAGAATTACGTAATAACAAATACAGCAGATTTGAGCTCCGAAATTATCTAATTTATTTCTTTTATTGAAAACAAAATTATCCGGTTGAAAACATCGCCTATCGGAATAACGTGTAATAAGCAGCTGCAAACTTTTTAACCGGAACTAGAGTAGGTGCCGAGCTCGAGATTATTATTGTTTACATTTCTACTGAAAACACCATCCATACAACTAAAAAGAGGAGGAGAGGGAAGTGGGAAGGGTCAAAGGCATGGAACTGGTCTTCTCCCTAGATGGAGTATTCGAGTGTTGCGATCGCCTATTAAAGTCACATGCATAAAATAGTTCAACAGAGTTGATGAACTGCTGTGAATAGCTCTTCCACAGCGAGGTGTAAAACTGGAATGCATTACAATGAGAGTAAGAATATAAAAAATAAGAATTAGAAAAAATATCTTAGTTGTGAATTAACTGACAGGTTGTATCGAAAAGTATTAAATCTTGAATTAGAGATAAAGACACATCTTTTGAAAATTCTGTCTAATATGGAATGTTACCATCTTGCACAACTATGCAACCTTACACCAATCTTTCATACTGTTAATTGAGGATGTCGAAAAAATTCTAGGGGCAACAAATCCCATTCTTCCTAGAGTGCAACTTATAACTTATGGAGATTCCTAGGAGGGGGTTATGTTGTGTATCGACTCTTCCTAAATTATCCCAAACATGTTAAATAGGATTGAGATCCGGGGACATCAGAGATTAATACGGCGAATATCCTCTTCTTTAAGAAAAGCGTCAATAGCGTGAGGTCACGCATTATCATACATTAAAATAATGCTGGGCCACTTTCCCTCAGTAACAACCTCACATACATGCCCAGGGCTTGGAGGAAAGAAAAAAAAAAGTAACAACCTCACACAAACCTTTACGCACTCACAGTCTTTACGTCCGGCATAGAGTCGATGAGTCGATCTTGTGTTTTATATAAAGAAGATAATTATTAAATGGAAACCTTGGAGCTTACAAATTTTGAGAAGAAAAAAAACTACATGTAAAATAAATGTGATGAAGTTAATAACTTTTATGAATAAGTTTTTGATATTAAATTCCATTTTTTCTTTTAAGTGGCTAAAAAATACTAGTTTCTAAGCTAAAAAGGAAGCTTTTTTTATCCTTAGCTTAAGCGCTATGATCATAGTTTCCCCAAATAATGTATGTAATAAGTTGTTTGATATAATTTAAATCTATTAAATATATTAATAATATAATTTTACACCATTTTTAATTTTCCCTTATAATGTGCTGATACATTAAATCATTCCTCGTGGTCGCACATATGGCATCACCAAACTGTAACTAAACACCTAACACCATATCTCAAGGTTGAGAATGTCTTTATCTTTTAACAGCCATAATAAAAATAAAACGCAACTTTGGCCTCAATCAAATGACGTGAACAGCTTCCTCTATTCACACTTCTACACGACAACCATCGAGAGGACTTTCAACTACGACAGATTTAACTTGCCTTCCTGTGTATACGTCTGAGTTATTTAAGTCAGTGTTCCCCGTTGATTGTTTATATTTTAGATTATTTTGATTTATTAACACTAGACTGCCTAATGAAGTCATTTTAATTGCTTTTAATTTCAATTAGAAAAACAATAATGTATATAATGACACAATTTCTTAGAATTTTGTGACTTTTTGTACAACATATAATTTTTTTTTATTGTTAATATTTATTAATAACTTGTTATATAACTGCAAACAATTTAAAAATTGTTAAAAATTAATTTTAAACAAATTTATTTACGCATTCACAATTCAGTCATTTTGACTGCTCTTGGGCAATATAGGCATATTCTAATTTTCAGTCTTTCTAGTGTTAACGATAAAGAGAAGACGAAGTTCTTCATTAGTTCTAATGTAAATTTCACGCCGCTCTTTCGTGTTTTATTTTTCATATTTACAGTTATGATGATTGATTTTTTTTAACTAAAACTAATTGAAAGAGAAAACAGTCGTGGTGGTTTTCTTTTTTTTATTTTACTTTTTAAGGCATTAAAACATTTATGTCACTACCTTCGGGGCCCCCTTTTTTAAATAAAAATTTAATGGAGCACAGATATTTTTAATTTGGGGTATAAACCTAGGAATTTAAATTCAGTTTCAATGAAATGGGCGACCCGATTCCATTTGATCCACGAACCGTTACCGATCCATGGACTGGGAGTTGAGGAGCACTGATTTAACTGACTGCCAAGATCGGAATCAGATACCCGGTTCTCCACCCGTGGTATAAATGATGCCTATTATATTCTCATCTTTATTTCGCAAACATCTCGTAACGTGTATTTTATTCCAAGGTGATGGGAATTACGGTTGCCCATAATGTGCCTGTTATACCATAATGGATCATTAAATAATTCAAATAAATTCCATCAATCAGGCTGTCAATCGCAACACCGAATTTTTCGCATGCAGTGCGTATCCGACTAGTTTTACGCACCAATAAAAGTGACCCTTTCTTAAAACGCAAATGCGTTGATACCAGCGCATATAACTCACACCATGCAATTCACTCATATGCGAGTGTTTCAAAACTGCAAGTAAGACACGCGAATGCACAGCCGTGAATCACATCGATTTGCGATCGCAAGTGAGAATCGAATGCAGTGAAAATGTTTCCTAGAAAAATATTCACAGACAGTGACTCTTGCAATTTTGCTGTTTCGAAACTGTTTCGAAAATGCAAACATTTATCGTAATCGAATCGAATCAAATTCAGACAGCTTTAGCGGATATTTGAAGACTGCATTGTCATCAGGAGTCAAGTAAAATTTTGTTATTAAATATTAGTTAGTATTGCTTTTGTATTCATTTAGCTCATGATATTTAACTATTTCATTTGTTGAAATGATTTTATAGTGATATATTTGTACACAGAGTTCTCATTTCTTTGAAAGATATAAAAATTAACATCGTAGGCTTAATCATTCCATAACTGTGATTTATTTATTATATCTATGATAGTATTTAATGATTAACAATTTAATTGATAAATTTCAAATATTTCATGATTAATTAATGTTTTTGTAATTTTAAATAAACCTCTTTATATATATATTTTCTATTATCTTAATTATTTATGCAATTATTTATAAATACTATTCACATTTAATTGTTTATTTTAAATCTTAATATACACACAATGTAAAGACTATCGTAATTATATATAAAGCAGTAAATATTTGCGAAAACACTAATTGTCATGATTGTTATCACTAAATATAAATTAATTCATGTTTCCCTATTAAGGCTTATAGAACTTGATTCTTAGAGGGGAAAAAATTGATTTTTCGAAAAACCTAATTCATAGGATTTCCCAGAAATTGTTCATTAAGAAAAATGCACTTTTGTGTTTTTATTTCATTAAGCTTATTATTTTATATATTAAAAAAGTAGTGAAACATTACAATTCAATTGTTATCTAAAAATAGCGTTTGAATTGGAGTTGCTTTATTTTGAGGGGTTTCATAGCTTTCTTCAAAGTTGACTTATTGCATAAGGAAACTTGTATACTGGTTTTAATTTCAGTGATTAGATTAGTTTTCAGAGAGATTTCCGTATTGTAATCTATTAAAGAATAATCGCCAAGCCTTGGCAGATTCCGTTGAGCTGCCCGTGAGATATGAAATGAAACATGATAGAAAGGGACCAACTCGAAAGGTATAACTCTTAGCCACCCTCAAGCAAACAACTAAGTTTTTTTTTTTTTTTTTTTTTTTTNTTTTTTTTTTTTTTTTTTTGTACAATTTGCAAGTTTAAAATGTATTTGGCACCTTGGCCATTGTAATTGGTGTGCCAGATTACGATCTGGAAATATTCCCAGTATTTCATCATTCAAGTTGTAAATTAGTTTAAAATTTGTAAGAATTAAAAATTTAAGGATCCTAATTCTTTATCAATATAAAAACTGGATGGTAATATTAAATTATAAGTGCATGGTCAAATTCAGCATCTGGTGCATTGCTAATTTTCAATAATATTGTGGTTCATAAACATATTTATATTTGATATTTTATAGGTATAGTTAGTCGTCATAAAGTAGTGTAGACTAAGATTTTCAACCATTTTCTGTTTTTTTATTTTTTTTAATTTCAAGTTCTAGTAGCATTCAAAATACCTAAGTACGGAAAAAGATCACATCTATGGAGATCTCACTGCTTTTTTTTAACATGAAAAATTAGTACTTTATGAAAGGTTTCTATTTCTGCAATTAATATTTAATTTGTGGTTGCAGGTTATATCTAAGTTAAATCTTTTAAATTTATTTTGTTAACCATGTATGAAAGAGTTAAAGTATATTGTAGCTTTTTTTTTAGTTTTTCATTTTAAGAAATAAAAATTCTTATCCATTTGTATTTCACGCACAAGGCATCAAATGTTGTATTATAATGTAATGACTATATGGTTACTTTTTATTTTTCAGTATAGTAATGGCAATTCAAGACGTCGATGTTGAAATGACTTCAGAAGATGCAGATAATGCAGCTGAGAAAGAAAAGGCTCCCAAAGTTGACCTCGAAGCTTTATCACTGGCTGGTAAATTCATTTTTTTCTTACGTTTTTTTAAACTGTTAATTTTGATATATCAATTTGAAAACACTTAAAGCAGTTTATTGTCAAATATTTAAAAACTTATGACATTTTGTATGTGTAACAATATTTTTTTGTATTTCTATTTGCATAATTTCATTATTACTGACAGTGTTTTGACTCTTACATGAAAATTTTCTCAGTGATTTTTTTCCCTTTCACTTCTGAGTAGGTATGAGTTTAAGCAGACAACTTTTAATATTAGGCAGGAGTCATTTAATTTATAGTGCACAGTTGCCAACTCTACTGGATTTACCAGTAGTCTACTGAATTTTGATAGTTTGCCCTGGTCTACTGGTATAGTAAAATCTCCTGGTTACTTGTACATTTTAGAAAATTTTCTAAAATTGAGTAAGTCTTCAAAAAAAGAAAAAAATATACTCATGAAATGGAAATTTTATACAATTTTTAAGTTTGCTTAAATATTTAAATGAGTATTACTAACATAGTGAAGTAATAATCATTTGCAGCTTTTTTATTTGCTTTTTTTTCTTCTTAAATTTTCAATAAATTTTTATTCTAAGAAATCTAAACTATCAATAATGAATTATTTGTTTATTATATATACTCTTGTCATATGCCACTTGTCAATACTGACAAGCCAATTTTAAGGAATGTCCAAGAATTCGACTTCTGCTATCCAGATATGTCACAACCCATTTTACAAGTAGGGCGCATTCATACACCATTCGTCCGCATATTGTAATTTTGACCTGAACCAGAGCAAGATTAATCTCTGGTGGAACTCGTGACCTTTTGGACATGGACCCAACGCCCTATCAACCAGGCTATCACAGCCTTATATACTATACGGTGATGCCATTGTAGGCATTATATATTTCTTAAATTTTAAGTTTCAATTTAACCACTTATTTAAATTTTAACACATTTTATTAAAAATGATTATAAATATTTTATTATTTTCTTAACAACCAAAGTAGTGGCTAACTTTTCAATTCAATACCAGTGTAAAACTCATTAATTCACTGTCACAACTATATTGAATATCATATTCTATTTTTAACTCTATATTCTTTAAGCTACTTTACAAATCTTTCAGTTACTGGGATTGTGATGCCACAACTGGCATTACATATTTATTTCCTATCCTTTTAAATATCTCTTATTACTTAAGCTGATTTAATAGAATTACATTTAAAATAAATCAAAGACTTAATCTTTTAAAAACAAACATGAACATATAATATTTATCCTTCTCTTATAGATCAATGCAACGGATACTTTTTATTTCATTACTAATCCAAAACAAAAATCTATTTATAACTTTTATTCTAATTTCTAACCGCAAAAATGTTTCAGTTGCATGGTTGTAATAATTCTCATAAATTTGTTGGCGACTCGTGATCGCCAAGGTATTATTTTAAACCCAATGTTGATATGCTGGTTAGCTTTGTTTTGGCTATGTTATAATTTATTAAATCGCCAATTTTGGATCTCCTACCAATGCTTCTGTGTCCGTTGGGAACAATTTACACATACTTTTTAATTTGGCTTTAGTTTAGGCAGGTCGTGGGGGAATTGTCTCCTATGGCCTGTCCTTATTAATATTGGTATGCAAAACTTATTCAACTGAAATTCCTTTGAATAATATTTATATCTTGTATCTCGAGCTCTGCAACTATATGAAATAAAAGCTTTTTATTAATTCTGATCGGGTTCAACTGTTAATTTTCACCATCTTATGTTTTTATCATCACAATCTTCTATTTGTCAGTATTCTTCAACTAGTCCACTATACCAATACACCCTCCAACCTCACCTGATATTCCATCATTTCAACATAAAATGGCACCCCTGACTTTTCTTCTCCATAGGGATATATTAATTCTATTAATAATTATAAAAAAATGTTTGGTGTGTGTGATTAAGATGCATCAAAATTATATTAATAATGAAGGGTTAGCTTTGTTTTTGGCTATTTTAGATATCGATAAATCACCAGCTATGGCTCTCTTTCCATGCTGCTAAGTGTCCGTTTGTTTCACTATTCATTTCACTGCTTATTTAAAATTCTTGGCATTGGAACTGAGCATTTTCATTCCTCAATCCTACACAAGAAACACAAATGTACAATGGAACATTACCACCACTACAACTGTCTTCCATAAAACTGGACTAAATATTTTCACAAAAGCTAATGGGAATAAAGTCTTCATATATAGTATTTAAAATTATGAATTGACATAATAAAGGAAAATTCCAATTCATACATAAATGGAAAATATTGCAGACCCTTTGGTTATTAGAGTAATAAATTTTTGTATTTTGATGACTATAAAAATCCTTAAAATTCCCTATATGTAAAATATTTAGTATATCTTAAAACAGTTTATCATAACATTTTTATTTCGTGAAATCAACTGGAGTTTTCCTTTGTGGGTTAATATTTTTATTGCAAGGAAATCTTTTTTTTCTTGTATAGTTAATTGCACTATATTTCGATACGTAATAATCCTTGATATATTTACTGCTTAATATTTTCTCTTTTTCTTTCAACATTTTTAACTTCTTAGGTTTCATTGTTTACTTAATTTAACAAATTTTGTTATTCAAATTTTCAAAATACATAACAAAAATATTTATTGTTAGTTAAATATCAAAATCTATTGAATGTTCAATGAATAAGATTAGAATATATTCTTAATAAATGGTTAATTTAGCTGCAACATTTATTTATGATATCTATTTATGCAATATTTATTAATAAAGTTAGATATATTGTGTAATGTCTACATGTGATTAATGTAATGTAATTTAAAACAAGCAACAAGCATTTTAAAAATTTAATATTTTTTTCATAATAAACAATAATGTATTTATATGAAAGTTTAACAGACATATAAATACATTATTCTTATATACCTATACTATTTCAAAATTTTAGAGTAAGTCAAAAGTTGGATAATTTGTTAATAAATATCTCCTTTTGTTTCAGATATAAAGGAGCACCTGGTTTTCATAGAAAAATCTGTCAACTCAAAAGAACCAAGATTCATTCTTAGAGTTGTAAGAGCTCTTGTGTCCATCAGGAAGCGCTTAACACCAAAAATTTTGCGTAAAGTTGTTACTCATTTTTATGTTCATTCTTCTCAACAAAAAGATGTATTGCTTGCTTTCATTGATGAGGTAAGTTTTTTATTTCATTGATACTGAATTTCTTTATATTTTAAGTTTAGTTTATAATTTTATTGGAAACCAGTTAATATTTTCTTCACTTGGTCGCTTCTTTATTACATTTTTATAAAAATAAAATATTTTTAAAAAGCAATTATATTTTGTAAAATTTTATTATTCTAAGTATTTAATTACATTTACTGTATTAAATTTTTCAAATGTTTATGCGATCTTGTTTATTATTATTGGAAATACACTTTATTATGGGCCAAAATAAGTTTTGCCATTGTAATAGTTAAAGTACAAAATGAATACTGTAGATTATTATATTTGTAGATTTTAATTAAAAAATGGTAAACAACTACATACTAAAATTTGCAAATATCTTACTAGTTTTGTTTACTTTCTAAACGGTGTCGCATAACTTAATTCTTAAAAGATTGGGAATTATATAAGCCTTTGAATTATTTAGAAATAGTGGGTTATAGAAACCTAATAAACGGAATTTATTAAACCATGATTCACACATTATTAAACTACCACTCAAAACTATTTATTTGCTGTCCTGAGCAAGTTGGCATATCTGCATTTATAATTAAATATACTAAAATATACCAAAATAAGATTTAATTCATTTTTTTCTTTGCTAAATAAAATTTTTTGAATCATGCTTTTTGGTTTAAAAATATTTATCTTTTTTTGTGGTTTATTTGTCACATAATTCCTTAAGCTCTAAATTAAAAGTATCTAAACCATTATTCAATAGTATTTTTATGACAAACTTTTTAACTATTGATTGTTTTCTATGGGTTATTAAAATTTTTTACTTATATTCCATAATGCTAAGGTGATAAAAGAAAATAAGAGTTTTTTCAATAAACATATATTATTTTACAACTCCAGTTAACATGTAAGTATGCCCCCAATTTTTTTTTTTTTTTAAATCGATTGAATCAATGCAAATCTTAATATGAAGTGACAAATAGGCATAAAAATCTAAAATGGTAAACGGTTATGGATTTATTAATAAAGAATAGAACACTTAAGTTATTTTAACATAGTGGCTGTTTAAGTTTAACAATAAGCTTTTTAACGTAGTGCAGCATTATATAAAATGATATGGAGTGAAAGTATTTTTAACCAATTTAAAAAATTTTTTGCTAAAATAATGAAAGTTTTTTTTTTTGCAAAAAAAAGTTTGAAAATATATTAATATTAATGAATAAAAAGCATGTATACAATATAAATTTGTTTATGCTGATAACAGTAAATAAATTGAAAAATGAAGTATAATGTCAATAACAGCACTTCTTTCCTGTTTCTTCTTTTGATTGTCACAAGCATAATATGCCATTAACAAGTATAAATAAAGGTTTCTATAATTTTTTTTTTTATATCTCAGTCAATAATTACTTAAAGGACCATCAGCTCTATTTTATTTTAAGCCTTTTTAGAAAGATCATATCTTAGCCTAATTTGCATTCATAATGAGTTTCAGGGTTGGGATTTTGAATGTCCTAAACTTGTTATGGACAAGACGTGTGAGTTTTACCATCTTAAACTGTCCTAAAGTGTCCAAAACCTTGAACATTGGTAAAAGGTAAAAATTCTATGTGTGTAACCATTGTACATGTAATAATTACATATATTAATAAATATCCTATACTTTTTATACATTTTGCTTTTACTTATTAAGGGAAAACAATAAAGTAAAAGATTTATAACTTTAGAAGCTTCACAATTCAATGAACAACAAAAGTGAATACCTTATCCTTTAAATACAAATAAATATGTTTTTAATACTGATAAATTATGTTTTTGGACTGCATTATATTTGGATAAATAATGCAATATTAAAAATAATGATTAACTTTTTTAGTAGAACAAATACTTGTCCTCATTTTTCCTGTTCAAAAATTAATCTTTTATTTTTCACAATATTTTTTTTAAATTGTGACATAATTTGAATAAAGGAGTTTTGGACAGTTAAAGACAAACAGGTTTTAGACAGGATGGTTTAAACTCTGGTTTAAACTGTGAATTAATCCATTCTGTCCTAAACCTTGACAACAATGAGTTTATTAAGATTTATTTTTAGTTTACTTAATTTTTTAGAAATATTTTATTCATTCAGTATAATCTATATTAATCTTGTAAGTGTTTTTGTTAATTTACATTTATAAATGATTTTTATTTAAATTTAAAAAATTCCAATAACTTTACTTATCCTCTATGACCATTAAGTTTTACTAATTGTAATTTTGAATTAAAATCATTCTTTCACATAATTGAATAAAGTAATTGTTTTATAAAGTTGAAGGAACAACTCTAAATTAAATGTATTTAAAATTGTGTGTAACATGTTCTTATAGTGAGTTATATAATTAATTTTATGGTGACTTATATAATATTGTTTTGTTTTTCCTTCCAGAAACTAGTTATTTAGAACATATTTTTGTGTTTTGTTAATTTTATGTATATGAAAAACTTTTAACAATTGGAAGAAATTTTTTTTTGTTATTAGTTATTGTTATCAATATAGTTGATGATAATAAATAATATTTATAAATGTTAAATTCCATGATTTTTTTTCTTCCTGAATTTAAAGATTTTTTAACTTTTAGCCTATGGATATGGATACAAATGGTAACAAAGCACCAACCAGAATAAAGAATGCTAAATCCAGTCTGCAGCCATTATTGCCTGAACAAGATATTTATATACATCTCCTTGTTCTACTTCATCTCATTGATGCAGATCAAGCTCAGTCTGTAAGTATAAATAATCTTGTTTATTTTGTTTTTATTATTTCATTTGTTTTGATTTCCTACTGTTAATTTAACAGGGTGGGCACCACCCACCTGGAATTATCAATGAATTTTTTATACTGAAAAAAAACCTGAAAAAAATAAATGAATTTTAAAGAAAAGCTGGAATTTTTTTCTTAATTTAAATTATTTTACCATCCAGGGTTGCAAAAAACCCGGGTTTTTCTAGAATTGGACTTTTCTGGGTTTTTCATGTTTTTTTTTGGGGGGGGGGTTTCAAAAGAGAGGGCAGGGATAAGTATCTTATTTTAAAAAAAGCCTATTTAATATTAATAATTAAGTTTAATTTTATAAATTGACTTAACATATAGGTAATTAATAATTAATACAAATAAATTGATGCAAAAGTCTGAAAAAATTTTCTCTTGACATCACGATACAAAATGTTATGTGTACTCGCATACATCACACATTTGAAACTTATTTTAGCACAGAATTACTTTTTATTTATGTTTTAGTCTTAAAAAATATTTGAGGAAATTTTTTTATTTGCATAAAAAGCGAATCAAAGGCACTGACTAATCAATACCCATACAGTGAAATCTAGCCAGTAAGGTGACTCTCCAGTCTCCAACATAGTTAGTTTTGACACCATAGGTTAATTTTTTTTAGGCTAGACTAATTTTTTTTAGGCTATATTTCAATAGAATAGCTCTTTAATATAAAAGAGGTTAAAAAAGAAATCTATCTTAGAAAAATCCAGTAAAACCCACTTTAGGGTGGGTTTTACCCAGTAAAACCCGCCCGGGTTTTATTGGGTAGGTGGGTTTTTTGCAACCTTGGTTGTATTCACTTTGTTTAAACTGAAAGTTATCGTGAAATATCTTCAACTTAGCAATACTTTGCTGGCATAAAAACTTGATGGTGGTAAGCAACTCAATTTTAATCTTTTGAAATGCGATTTTTAGAACATTTTAGAGCAATCATTTTGCTTTGAGCTTGAAAAATGTGTGTATTTAGAGAAAATTTTTTTTTTTAAATAATAAACCTACTTGCGTAGCAAACTACAACAATAACACACATTCAATTATTAGGTAAATGAGATAAAAATTGGTAGTAATTATTGGGCCTATAATTGACAAATGAAACTGGAGAGGGATAATTCCTGGAAATAATTCCTGAACACATAAATTTTTTTTTTGTAATTTTCATCATTTCACTGCTAGCTACGCTGCAATATAGTAGTAAAAGGTATATTGGTTAATATCTTCTACTTTTAAACATCAAATGCAATGGATTGTATGATTCAGGGGGTAGTGATGATGATCCAATGAGGTGAATCCTCCGATATCTGGTCAATACGAATTCTGCATCCTTAAAATTTCTTTTTTTTTTTGGATCAATTTTACTGAATCTCACTAGTTTTTCCTGACTTATGTGCATTATAAAAATTTCTTGAAACCTAGAGTTTTTAAAAAAACTTCTTAAAATGATTTTTACTCAGTTTTTTTATTCATTGCTTGAGTATTTAAATACTAGTGTTAAATTATGCCATTGGCCACATTCATAGTATCAGTTTACTGTTTTTGTGTTAAAAAATATTTTAGAATTGTAAGTTTTTTTAAAAAAAATAATTAAAAACTTTATTTTTAAATTAAAGATCATTACATTTTGTATTCTGGAACATTTAACAAAGAAAAAATAGAATAGAAATTTAAATTCATAGTTATTACTGTGATATAGCTTTTGTATATCTTTTTTTTATATATATAATTCCATACCATACATAATCAAAATTATTTCAGATTCTACTCTATAGTTAGTTATTAGGAAACTTATATTTTTCTGAAATTATGTCAGAGTTTTATCTTTCTTGCTTTACAGCTATGCATCCTTTTAACTTCCCTCTGTATTTCTTCTCAATAATTTTCTCATTCTCCTAATTCGTTAGAAACTTACTAGGCCAATTATTATTTATTCAAAGTAGTTACGTTTAAATTTTTGAATCATTGTTTGAAATTTGTGAATATTCATTACAACCAAAATTGATTCATTACACTTATATTTTAGAATTAGTCTTTTATATTTATAATTTAGTGCTGAGTTGCAAATTGTTAATTGATAATGTTTTCCGTTCTGTAACTTATTTCGAGGAGACTTGAGGTAAAAATGTCTTATTTGATGTAAAGGTACATACAATAATTTTCCTTTTTGTCAATGCAATGAGCTCGTTTCATAGCCTTCTAAAATAGATTGGAACTGTAAAGCATTTTGACTAAATTTAGGCATTTCTAGAAAGATAGAAAAGTCGGTTTTTTTTCTCTTTTTTTTTCCGTACACAATCACATTCAATTTATGTTACTTTTGATGAGTATTTGAGTTAGAAATTCTACGCCATTGGAAAAATTAAAAACGCCTGCTGAAATTTGTCAATTAATGTAACACTGTGTCACACCTCTATGTTATCAACATTTTTAATTAAGTCATGTATTTGGTTGAAGTTTTCATCCACACTTGTAAAGGTGTTTTGATATTATTATGAATATTGAGAAGTCAGCGATTTAATCTTTTAAAAAGATTACTATTGGAGATTATATTCCATGGTTTTACTTAGTCATTGTTCATTGAAAGCTGTTATTGAATGACTTTATAATGATTAGTATTGAAAACTTTAATATTTAGGAACTAGTTGAAGAAGCTTTGCTTTTTACGAGAGCATACATCAAGCTATTTTACAAGCATCATTTATTTATTTACATATCATCATCATCATTTATTTATTTACTTCAAATTAATTCTAATTTTTAAAAATCATTTCTTTGGTTGTAATTCAAATAACAGCTAGTATATAAACAGCATTTGAATCTAGTTTTTTTTTTTTTTAATTTGCTGAATTCAAAATTAAAAAATCCAAAAAAAGAAAAATATTTCTATTTGTTGATTTGTTTTAATAAAACTTGAATTTAAAATTCTGTTGCATATGAAAATAACTGTCTATTGCTTACAATCTTAATTAATTAACATATTACTTTTTAAAAACATGCAATTATTATTTAAAAGATTATTTAATTTTACTGCCTAAGTAAAAAGACCTTACCTTGCTATGTATTATTAATAAATAGAATTCTATTGGTTTTGGCTACATGTTTGTTTTATGTATTGATGTTTGTATTATAGAAATATGAGTTATTATCAAATACTTACAAGTTTGATAAAAAACATTATCTTTTTATCCCTTTTTCAGGCTGTTAATTGTGCCGATCTATTAATGAAAAAAGTGTGTGCTCAACCTCAACGAACAGTAGATCTGATTGCAGCAAAATGTTATTTCTTCTTATCCAGGAGTTATGAACTCTCAGGCAGATTAGCCGATATAAGAAGGTAATTTTTTTAATCTAATTTTTTAATATAGAATTTGAAGTAAAGTAAATTTTAGAGAAAACTGAAGTTGAAGTAAATTTTAGAGAAAAATCTCTATTAAAGACTATTTGAAAATTACTACTAGAAAAAATTAACTGATACAACTGAAATATGGAATGCTTGTAAAATATTGTCTCAATTTCAATATACAGTGGAACCATGATTTTACTCCTTCCGCCAAACTAGCAATAAAAAATGCAATTTCTGCTACAATTATGTAAAATAAGTTGTAAAATCTGGTGGACATGTACTTTAGCATATAACAATAATACCGAATAGGTCCTTGAAAAATTTGATTTTAGGTCCTTGAAAGTCATTGAAGTCCTTGAATTTTTTAAAAAAAAATTAAGTGGGGATCCTGTTCATAGTGAAAATTATCTAATTTTAGTAAATTTATTCTGTTTTTTTTTTCTTTTCTTTTGTGTTTGCTTTAAAAAATGTTTTCTAATTACAACATTAGATTGAATGCTCTGAATAATTGAAAAATAAATGCTTTATAAGTGTTATATAATAGCAAAATAAATGTAAAATTTATAGTGTCAAAATAATTCTGGTTTTTGCTAGTTTTGTGTAATTTTTCTTCTATTAGTGATTACCAGAAACCAATATTATTAGTGGTTATTTAGAAACCAATATTATTCTTTGTATATTTAATATTTATTATCTTCAAAAATAAATCTGATGTTGCCTGCTTTAACAGAATTGTAAATGTTTGAAAAAATATTTTGCTCCTTTTTATTTAATATTAAAAATGTCATTGAAATATTTTCTTCTTTCTGTAGCTTTCTTCACAGCCGCCTTAGAAGTGCTGTTTTACGAAATGACTATGAAGGCCAGGCTGTTCTTCTGAATTGTTTATTACGCAATTATTTACACTATAATTTATATGAGCAAGCCTCTAAACTAGCATCAAAATCTGTATTTCCAGAAATGGCTTCTGATAATGAGTGGGCTAGGTTCTTATACTACCTTGGTAAGTTTCTATTATTAAAATTTTATTTGTGAATGTAAACAGTATTACCTGATAGTGAAACAGTATTACCTAAAGTATATATTTTCTTTTTTAATGTGGTCAAAAATATTTTAATCTTGTTATAAAGTTTTTTTTAAAAAACAAATTATTGAATAACATATTACTTCTATATAAAAATGAATTTATTATATTACATGATTAAAAATCTAGAAATATAATGAGCATAATAAAAAGTTTTCATATTCAAGTCTGAGACTAATCGGAAAATATTGTGCTGTAGTGTAAAATACTTTTTCTATTTTATTTCTCTTTATTGATGCTTGATTACCAGTTCTTTGCAAGTTGAATAATTTATTTTTCATAATTATTTTTAAAAATTGTTTTAATGATTTTACAAAATCTTCTACATTTTTTTTTCTGTGTTGGCAACTCTGGAGTTTCAAATATATAACTGATTATTTTTACAATTTACATGGCTCATTATCTATTTTTGTAAACCTGAAAGTGTATTAATCCAAATAAATATGGCATGTGTGCACTTGCTTGCCCTCATCCTTTCCTTATTCTTTTCAGGTCTCAAAGTTGTCCTTAATTTCCTTAAAAAAATTTAAAAAAAAGAAAGAAAGTGTTCTTAATTATTAAACATTTCAATAAATGTCCTGAAATTTTTGTGTTTTTCTAAATTTTTTAAAAGTTAACAGGAAGAATAAATATTATTTATCTAAATAAGAATTGAAGAACTTTCAAATTCAAAAATTATGTCATATGAAACAAAGTAAATAACAAAATGAGCTATAAAGTTTTCATAGCGCATAAAGGATAATATTAATCTACTTCCAGTGTTGGAGCCTTAATTTGAGGGTATAAAAGCTTGTCTTTCTACACCCCCTTCATCACTATTTCGCGAGAGAATCCTCGTATTTTGCTATTAATTAACGATTTTCCGTAGATAGACTGTTTCCACTACCCATTTTTTTAAAAAAGAAATATTTAATAATAAAAAAAAATTATTACCAATTGTATATCTGTGAACCCATATTGGTATTGTACAAATTGCTCCCATTAGAGCAGCATCCTTAAATTTTGGAGNATAAGACGTTTAAGAGCAAACGATGTTTTGCCTGTGTTTTGCTCATTCCCTTATTTTTATCAGATTTGTTTTTATTTATAAGGCATAGTGTTTTTATTTATAAGGCATTTCATTTTTCCTTGTTATTTTCTCTTACAGGTCGCATAAAAGCTATTCAATTAGATTATTCTGAAGCCCATAAAAATTTACTACAAGCAATCAGAAAAGCTCCAGAGACATCTGCTGTTGGATTCAGGCAAACAGTATGCATCCGATATTTATCAGTTTATTTTTGTAAATTAATTTATCCTCCTAATAATAGCATAAATTCTGCATTATTAGATTAGCCTCAAATCTTTTTAATCAAAATCAAACTAGTTAAATTATCTTTTCTATTTTATTTGACAGGAAATTTTAAATATCTTTTTATCAAGAGTTTTGTTTTGTTAAATGTTTTTATGCACAAATTAATTGCTACAATGCAAATGAACAGATTTAATTATATTTGCTGTTTTGATCACTCAGATCTTATGCTAAAATATCTTACCATCTGAATATTTGTAGTTTAAAAATTGAAGACATTAAAAAAAGTTGCAAAAATTGACTTTTTTTTTAATATTATTTATTTCTTTTTATTTATATATTGATTTATTTTCCTAAATTGCACTATTGGTAAATTAATGGATTTTTATATATGTTGAAATAAAATAATGACAGCTAAAAGTTTTTAAATTATTAGAAAAATATGAGTTTTTATAAGATTTATTCATAGTAAAAGTAATTTGTTAAAAATGTATTTAAAGTGTACTGAAGAAACCGTTTCTTTTTTATTGTTTTCTGTTACTTTATAAAATAAGTGTTAACTGTCACAAATTCAAGATCTTTTTCATACGATAATATATTGGATATAACTCAAGCTAACTAAAATAAATAAAACATAATGAAAAGCATATTCTGTTTCCCAATCCTAGAAGGAACCTTTTTCTTTCTTAAATGACTTTTTTAACAAGAGTCTGGCAAGAAATTCTGCTCTATCCCCTGGTCTGTAATATTGAATGCAATGTGTCGAAATTTTATGTGCATTAATATGATTATCTAATTCCATCCAGTCATAAAACTTATTCACTCATAAAAACAAGACATGGGCGGCAGTGACGCAACATCACATTTTTTGTTAGGTATGAAACACTTCTGTTCTGCATTTTCTTTGTTTCATTATTTACAGTTAGGGGAAATAATTTTAGTTACAAAAGTTGTTTTTTAATATCTACTGTATTTTATGTTAATAATTTTTTTTCATTACATTTTGTAGGTTTACAAATTGGCAATAACTGTAGAATTATTGCTTGGTGATATACCTGACAGGTCTTTGTTTCGCCAACCTCAATTAAGAAAATCCTTGGCACCTTATTATAAATTAACTCAGGGTATGTAAATATTGAAATTATAGTGTTGCTACAACTTGATTGTTACAGCCTGTTCTTTTATTCAAATTTTACTACAATTATTAGATTTATTTTTACTGGCTGCATTGCTGTACTGTATCAAAACCAATTTGTGTAGTTTCGTTTCTTATATATTATATATATAATATACTATGAGAAACGTATTTTTGACAGGAAAATAATTGCCTCTAAATTTTAGATCTGAAGTTGTTGATACCTGAAAATAGTTCTTTTTCTGTTAGATCACAAAAGGAATTCAAGTTTTAAAAAAACATTAACTTAACTAACATTTGCACAAGCAAATTGAGATAAGGAATAAAATCACTTTTACCTTCCTTCAATGAAAAACAATGTATCTGGAAATGACGGCACATCTGTTGCACAACAAACTCTGTAATGAATATGAGCAACAGCAGATAATATAAAGCCCAAGTTACCTGAATTTCAGTTTTACTACTCTTATTCGGAGAATTAAAAATGAAGGCTATAGCAAAGCCAATGGGGTAAAACAACCAGTTAAAAGTTTCACAAGTTGAACTCACCTGGTTGACAAATAATCTTCAGGCAATATTAGAAAAAAACAGTTCCAACTATATAATAGAATACTCTGGGGTGATTACTTTAGATATTTGTCGGAGACATCATTGCTCACACCATTGTACTTAAAAACAATAGTTATAGGCACCAATTGACACATGGTTTCCCACTGAGAATTCTATTTTAGCTCTTTTTTGGATGGGGCTCAGTGTATATATTGTACAGACTAACAGGTTATGACATAGCAAAAGTTCCTCCATTTACGAAAAGTTCGATAATCTGTCCACTGCAAGACCAGTACATTTCCAATATTTTTACACTTTAAAATAAGTAATTAAGAAAGTGGTAATTAGACCATTTGAGATGTATCCTAACCTCATGGATGCTCTCCAGTGTTGTATTTCTCCCAATGTGAGAATATGAAACATGCTCCATAATGAAGAAAACTACAGCGAAACTCACCACAGCCAAATAAAGAACATGTGTTTTGGCAAAAACAGGGCTGCCCAACTGTTCTAATAGACCAGATGAATTTGTAGGACCACATGCTATACCCTCTAATGTGTGGGCAAGGGAATGATTATCCAAGCCCACTTTGGAATTGGTGGATACGAAGAAAATGAATCACCGGAAGCTCAGAAACGATATGACGGCCGAGATAGTCGCAGAATGACGTATCTGTATGTCAACCAGAGATGGGCATTTGTCATTCAGAATAATGAATAAAGAATGATGAATAATTATTCAAAATCTGAATAATGAATGATGAATAAAGATTTATTCATTAGTCAGAAATATTTTGAATAAAGAATAAATCATTCATTATTCCTTATTCAGTATCCTTTATTCATTAGTCAAGAATAACTGAATAATTTCACTGGTCAACAAAAATGGGCACGGAATACTCTAATTGACTACGATTATGACAACTATAAATAAAACGTTAATCCTTTTCAAGTATATTTATATAATGTTTGAGAAAATGTACTTTTGTCTAACATAATGCATACTTTTGAGAAATGGTTACATGGCAAAAAAGCGTTTAATTTTTTAAGTTAAAATTTTATTTAAAAATTTAAAGTATATTATCGTTTGCTTTCAAAAACTATAAAAAATTGCGTTTTATAGATTTTAGAACAAAATTTTAAAATGAACTTAAGTAACTAAACTGTTATAAACCTACTTTTTAGCACAACTAAGTATGTTACGCTGGAGTACGTTAAAATAACATAAAAATAAATAGTCCTACTTGTCTGAGTTTTATAGTTTAATTCCTAAAATAAGACGTTTAAGAGCAAACAGTGTTTTGCATCTCGTTGTAGACAAAGACATATCGATTGCATTTATTGCTGGTTATTCNACGCTGGAGTAAGTTAAAATAACATAAAAATAAATAGTCATACTTGTCTTAGTTTTATAGTTTAATTCCTAAAATAAGACGTTTAAGAGCAAACGATGTTTTGCATCTCGTTATAGACAAAGACATATCAATTGCATTTTTTGCTGGTTATTCAAAATTTTATTCAGAAAAATTAGTCAGGACTAATGAGTTTATTCATCAATCATTATTCAAAAATTTTTATACATTTGCATAATGAATGATGAATAATGACTAAATTTTCATATGAATAATCATTCAGAATAAATTTATTCTGAATAAATTTTGTCATGAATAAAATTTTCGTGAATAATGCCCTGCTCTGATGTCAACAAAACAAATAAAAAACAAAGGTTCTATAGCAATAAATTTATTTTAAAAACATTAAAATGGTAAACATACTCTCACAAACTAAGTGACAAAAAGAAAGAATGCTAAATAATTGGCCTCATCAAAAGCTTGAATTCTCTTTAAACCGATAAGGGATGGTGTCATGATCCACGCGAAAACGACCATCAGCAAATGAACATTAACTGGCCGAACCCTCAGACCATGACGTTACCGACATAAGGTGAATGTGTGACATCGTCATCTTAAGCGACTGCCGCTGATCGAATCTATACCCTTTTTTATGTTATTTAATCAATCAAAATTGAAATAACCCTTTTAGCATTTGTTTATCTAACACAATAGTCATTTACTGAAAGTAAGACAACATTCAAGCGGTTAAAAAGAATCCCTGTGAATGTCCTTAAATAGGTGCGAGCCTTGGCGGTACTGGCTTCACTGCTTGATTCCAAAATGAATGAATAACATGATTGTTTAAAGGGCTTGTGGCTAATGCACTATACTCATAATTTTCACGTCTTTTAATTTTTTCAGGGGGAAAATACTGTTAAAATATGTTCACTTAAGTATTTTTTTGTGTTCTGTTCGCTCTGTATATTTTTTTTAATGTGAAGAAAAAATACATGTGACGATTTGGGTGGTATAGTGGAGTATTAAATTAGGAAATATGTTGTGTAATTATCAAAGGTAGGGTAGCTAGTTAAAAGTGGCTACAAATTGAATTTTAAAATATTTAACAAATACAGCCTAATCCAAATTCATCACACACACACATTCAACAGAAAGATAAGTTTGTTTAGAAATAAGAATCAAAAGAGTTAATTTATTTTATTAAATATGTTAATGTTAATTAATTTATCTATTATCAAACACTATCACTGCATGAATTTGACCATGTGGCAGAACATCACCAGTGTTCTCCCTAAGTGTTTTGACAAGGGCAGCCCACCCTGCCTGCTCTTAGATTCCTATTAATGCCTTCTTGCCCTTTTAGTAAAAATAAGCTGCCATCCCTTAAAAACATGCCTTTTATTCATAATGCATTAATAAAAAATTCCCCGTTTAATTAATTACGCATTGGTAAAACTATCTGTGTTCATGGATTTAATTCTGATTATTATTACAATAATTTTTTGTTTAAATTCTTCTCTCTTTGAAATATGCGCCTTTTGATGTTCATTTTTAAATAATTTCCAGTTTAAATTATAGAAAAAAGCTTTTAAGTTTATCAATTAATCTTTTTTTTTAGTTTTTTTGAAAAATTATACTCAGATATTGTCTTTTAGCATGCCTTTAATTATATTTTTTTAACTACAAATTTTTCTCTTATTTTGATAATGAGTGAGAGTTACTTTTTTAAATACACACATTAAATAGTATAAGAGGGTCATTTCAAAATTGTTTAGGATCAAATGCAGTTGCTACATAATGTTTCAAATTTTGATAAGGTGTTAAATGAGTGCCTTTTCAAAACTCAAAGTGCCCCTTTCAGAGACGAAGCACCCTACTCTTTTTTATTCCTCTGTGATCACTAAAGATTTCAATTATAAACATTTTTGCTGTATTTTAGAGAAAATAATAAAAAAAAAGAAAAAAAAACTAAAATATTATCTATGTGGGCCCACTTTTCTCCCTTCCTCTGCCTTCTCATTGACTAAAAATCGGCAGACAAGTAATGCTTATCTTTTCTAATGGAGCCCATTTCAAACTGTATTATCTAGTGTTGTATTTGAATTGTCCAAGACAGAAAGAGACATGGTTTTGATACAGCAGTGCAGCCAAGAGAAATAAATCGTAAAACTGTAGAAAAATTTGAATATAAGAACAGGCTATAACAAGCAAGTTGTAGCAACACTACAAAATTTTATACAATAATTTTCCTTTTAGTTATTATAATTTTTCTTTTCAGTATTTTATGGATAATGTAATTTCTCAGATTATTTTAATTTGCTAGCTGTTGTGCTACTTGATTTATTTTATTTTTCTTGCATTTGTTCTTTAAGTAAAAGATAGCTCTTTATTATACTCTATAATTGCTTCATATTATAAATTTTTTAAAATTAGTTTTAAAGTTCATTTTACTATATTTTATGTTAATGGATAAAATAGTATTGAAGTGTTAAAATTTTATATTAATTAAAACTCAATTCTTTTATTGTAGCTTACTGCAAAATTTTTTAATTTATTAAAGTAATCAAATTTTGAAAATGACTAATTGATCTTGAACACTGCTTAATAGCTTATGAAAAGTGTTTTTTGTTTACTGTTATATGTTTATAATAAATACTGTCAAAAGTATATTAGAATCTTTTGTGAAACTTACATTTTTTTGTTTTAGCTGTTAAAGCTGGGAACCTAAACATGTTTAATGAAGTTCTGGAGAGCTTAGGCCCTCAATTCCAGAAGGATCACACTTATACTCTCATTCTGAGGTTAAGACATAATGTAATAAAAACGGGTATTCGCATGATCAGCCTGTCATATTCTCGCATCTCTTTGTCAGAGATTGCACAAAAGTTGACGTTAGGAAGCTCTGAAGATGTTGAATTCATTGTAGCTAAGGTTTGTCTTTTTATTTTTGTTATACCCTTATGAGTGTTATCATTTCTACTTGAAATTTAAAAAAATATTGTCTAGAACTACTTATAAATAATTTCAACAAGTCAAAAAGACTAATAGTCATGTTCTTCAGTTCTGATATAAGTTTCATAAAAATTTCATGAAACTACTTGTACATTTTTCTGCGCACTTTTGTATTTTCAAGTTTGTAAGTCTTGTAGTTTTTACATAGCAAGACAAAATATAGCCAGGATGGCCACCCACCTGAAATTATCAGGGAATTTTTTTTTATACTTCTGGAAAGTTTGGGTGAAAACCTGGGAAAATCAGCAAAATTATAAAAAAAAGCTGGAATTTGTTTAATTTTATTAATTTAAATTATTTTACCATCCGTTATGTGCCTCCTTTTTTTAGACGGAAGTTTATTGCTATACTGTTGAAATATCAACTTAGCAATACTTTGTTTGCATCAATATTTGTTCCATTATAATCCTGTTAAATTAGAATGCAATGCTACATGAAACTCTCCCATGGTTGATAAATGGATGAATAAACCTTTGACCTCTTTGGAGACTATGGGACTGTGCAGTTTTAAAAAAGCAAAGATTGTTATAGAGGTGGAAGAAGGGGTTAGGATATCTGCTTTTGTTTACGACAGGTTTTTTTTAAGTCTGTGGGCTGATTCCATTTATTATTGTTCAAGTTTGTTCCGATGCTTTTGGGATAGTTTTTTTTTCTTATGATAAAATTATTCAAAATGTTTTAGTACTTAATAAAATTCTCCAAAATTTATTAATTGGTTATAACTTAATAACAATAGATCTTATATTGCACTAGCTTTTGTACTCCCGTCCTATGAAATCAGCGAATTAGTTTTTCTGAGCAAAGCCATTCGATCACAATTTTTCTTGTCACTAACAGCGATGTTTATCGACAAATTGTTTCAATTGTTGCATTAGTTCTAATTTTCTCAATTTCATTATAGCCTTTTATAACATTTTAATTAAAAAAAAGTCCTTTTAAAAACTAACTACATGTTAACATTTAATTTTATTATATTTTATGTTAACATTTAAAAATTTGATTTTTGGTATGTTCCTTGCATTCCAGAGATATTTCTGAAACTGTTTCTCTTTTTACCTTAGAAAGCTAGCAAAGACTAAGGAATGTATAATAAAAACATATTAATTCATGTATTAACACGTAACCTAAAAATTCTTTATTCATGTGCAGAGCCGGCACTAAACACTTCAAACTACCAGCCAATTAATTAGCCAACGGAAAGAGTTCCATCATGCGATGTTCCATGATCAAGCAACGAACATGTTGATCAATATTTTTGCTAACATTATCCGGATTAGTTGTGACATATCTAAAGAAAATTACTGTAATCTAATAAAATAACAAGATTTGTTCAGAAAAATTCATATTAATGTAATTATCAAGATCTTGCAGTGTTTATTTCCCCCCTTCTTATCGATAGAAAAAATTGTTTGCCTAAACACGATTTCTTTCACTGAATTAAATGGGTGTACATTTAATTTCCCACCATTCGTCACAAGATGGCACTACCAGGTTGTGTAGAAATTGACTGGTGTTAAAAGCCTTATTGTAAGTTAGTTCATTTGGTAACAAAAATTTTTACTGATTCCGTATTTGCGTTACGTAATTATTTTCGTGCAAAAATAGCAAGTTTTGTGCCAAGTAAGTGCCATTTGCAGGAACTTTTGATCTACTTTAATTTAAAGAAATTTGAAGCTGAGTCATATCGATTGCTTGGAGAAGCATGTGGTGAGGCTGCTTTAAGTGAGAGAAGTTGTCAGGAGTGGTTTCAGAAGTTTAAAAACGGTGAGTTCGACGTGAAAGACGAAGAATGTAGTGGAAAAACCGAAATTGTATGAAGATGAGGACTTGGAAGAAGATTCCTCCCAAACGAATAAAATACTTGCTCTTACATTACAAGTGACTCACTCTTACATTACAAGTGACTCAGTAAGCAATTCCACATCATTTAAAATCGTTGGAAATGATTAAAAAACAAAGAAGTTTTGTTCCATACGAACTGTAGCCAAGAGACATTGAACGTTGATTTTGCTATTAAAAATTTTCTAATTGATATATCAACAAATGAATGCACAAAATTGTTAAGATGAATATTGCAAGCACAAAGAAAAGAAAAATTTGGAAAATGTGTAAAATAAAAAAGCCTTAGGAATTTAAAAATTTTGAATTTGTTCAATATTTTTTACAATGTAAAAAAAAAATTAAGCAGATTGACTATTTTTTGAAGATAAATTATTGATTATAAGTTAAATGAGTATGTAAAGCATCCACAAAGTGAATGATTATACTTTTATTTAAAAAAATGTTACAAGGGTACTGTGACCCCTTAAAGTCAAATACAATTTCAAGTGTTTTTCTTCTTTTTAATATAAATTAACCTCATTAGAGTAACACAGTTCTCCCTAGAAATAAAAAAGGGCAGGGTGCTTCCTAACAAAAAAGGACACTTGGAGTTTTGAAAGGCACCATAAAAATTTATCAAATGTGTAATATTATTTTATAACTGGTTTTGATCCTCAATAATTTTAAAATTATCCTCTTATGCTATTTTCTGTGTGTATTTCAAAAAATAATACTCACTGATTATCAAAATAAGAGAAAAATTTGTAGTTTATAAATAATAATTAAAAGCATACTAAGAGATAATCTCTGTGCATAATTGTTTTTCTTCAAAAAAAGTATAAACTAAAAAAAATTATGTTTTGCTAAGCAATTTTAAAGATTTTTTCTATAATTTGAACATTTAAACTAAAAATTATGAAACAATAAATATTTAAGGGTGATTTTTTAAAGGTATTTATATAAAATAAAATTTAACGATTAAAATTGCTTAAAAAGTCATTAATATGAAAAAGAAACTTCTAAAAATTTAACCAGTTGAGAATAATACTAATAAAATAAATATTTGTAATAGCAATCCAAATAAACCTATAACCACAGGTAATATTAAATAGTGAATTAGATTTTTTTAATGAAATATGAATGAAAAGTTAGTATTTTTAAGGGATGGTGGGTTATTTTTATAAAAAGGGCAAAGAGAGCTCATCAAAGGGCAGGGAGACAGGCCACCCTTCTAAAAACATGTTGGGAGAACACTAGAGTAATGCTATGAAGTTTTCCTCGATAGTTTCAAATTTTCCACAAGCGGCTTTCCTGTATGGTATGTACTGGCTGAGAAATTAGATGATTTTTTAAAAGCATGTTTATGTAATAAATGCCTCTTATTTTTTCACTTAGTATTATTGTTCTTGTTTTGCTAGAAAGTTTTAAAAATTCTTTGTTTCTATCTTTTAGTGTGTTAAAAAAAAGTATATAGGATTTTAAAACTCATTTTATCTCTTCTAGGCCATCCGTGATGGTGTGATTGAAGCTACCATAAATCATGCGCAAGGCTATATGCAATCTAAACAAACTGTGGATGTTTACAGTACTGGTGAACCTTTAGCTGCCTTTCATAAAAGGATAAGTTTCTGCCTGGATATTCACAATAAATCTGTCAAGGTATTCTTATTGTATTTATAATTTTTATTCCTTTAATTGTTTTTTCTATAGTAAAATGATGCTGTGACAATGCATATAACTCTACTGTAGACAATAACAATTGTAACAATTTTTGTAAATTTTATTCTTTTGTTTTTTCTATAACAAAATGAATCTGTAACAATATAAACAATTCTACTTGAACCCATTGTGGTAGTGGTCAGGTGTAAGACATCTCTAGTTTTATTATATTTTATACTGTGGTGTCTTTAAAACAAAATCTGTTACTGTGTGCAGAAAAATTTGTTATTTAGAAAGTTTTGTTTCATTTAGTTTCGAGGCTCTTGCAGTTATTAAAGGAAGTTTTTAGTCTGTGTGACAAGTTCAAACATCTATAATTATGACTTTGAATTAAAGTTAATATATATATTATAAGTGTATTAAAATCATTTATATTCTTTCTAAAACAATATGTTTTAGTTTGCTTTGAAAATTCTGAGATTTTACGATGCTAAATTTTCACATGTTAAAAGTGAACTAAAAATTGTCAGGCATGTTATCTTTGAGTTGGAAACCTCTTTTAATCGATTTGAATTAATGTATCATTTTAGTCCAATGTGGTTTCTGGATTTCTTGGTTTAAATGCTTAAATTAGTTATAAATGCTTATTCACCCGCTTTCAAAATGTCAAGGACTTACATCATGTAACATTCTTTCATTCCTTTCTGATGTTCGAACTATTGCTCAAATTCCAACTTTCATTTGTAACTGTATCCGAAAATTGAAGATTTGATTAAGAAAACATAAAATTTAAGCATTAAATATTTACAAATTGAAAGTCATCTATTGCTTTACATTTAATAAACTAACACAAATCATTAATTACTATTGCTTTTCAACAGATTCTTAGCAAATAAATTCATTTAGTTTTGAATTAACAGATACTTAATCTCAAAGTAGGCAACCTGGAATAAAATTAAAGATAAATTTTAAGAAAGCATGAAAAAAAGAAACCTTTATTTATTATTATTATTTTTTTTTTTACTTTAAAGCTTGACATTGGTGAATAGGTCTCCAAATATATGCATTCAATATCAATAAAAAATATAATTTTTAAATAAATTGATTAGTGCTAAAATGACTGCTGTGTTGAATTAAATAGCGAATTGAAATTTTTAATTTTTTAAGCGACTTGAAAAATTTTTGCACACAGTTATAGAATTCATTTATTCAAATATGATTCCGTGCAAATAGTAAATTTTAATTACTTTTTTTTATTAAATATTAATTGAAAAATTTAGAATTATAAGGTATAAAAATTTTTACATCATTTTAAAATGTATAATTTTACATCACAAAATGCAAAATTTGAGCAAAACCGGTTGAATAGTTCCTGAGAAATCTAAGTTTAAAAAAGCTGTATATTTAAAATTTGATTTTTGAGGAACTATTCACCCAATTTTGCCCAAATATTTTGTATTTTGACATGATGTTAAATACTTTAAAATGATATAAGAAAATGTATACCTTACAATTCAAATTTTTTTCTCGCCTATTATTAAAAAATAAATAAATATATACTATTTATTTTTTGCAAAAATTATTCAATCCACTTAAAAAGTTCTCAATGTGGCGAAGTACGTAAAAAGTAATATTAATAGTAAAGGGACTAAACCCTAAACCAGTGGTTACCAACTGGCAGACCGCATTCGGCCCGCAAACTAAAATATATTAGTTGTCATTTTTTGCAGATAATTTTCGTACAAAAATCTAATATCTATCTTCGAGCTAAAATTGAGGATCAGCCAACTTATCTTCAACTGGAACTGTGTGAACTTCAAGCAGATGTATTTTTGCAAATGAGGGAGGAGAAAGGAGCTGATTTCTTTAAATTGTTAGATAAAGAGAGATTCCCCATTCTGTGAGAATTTGGCCAAAAATTCACACCAATATTTGGAAGTACATACTTGTGCGAAAGTGTATTTTCATCAATGAAATTTATAAAGAATAACAATAGAAACCGTCTTACTGACTCTTCTCTTGAGACTCTTAACAACTGAACTTGAGGTGGATATCCATTCTTTGGTAGTTGCAGCAGACAAACCTCAATTCTCTCATTGAACATTTTGTGTGCTACTATGCAAGTTTTAATATCAAGTTTTATATCTTAACAATTTGATATTTGTTGCACATTAATTGTTTAATACATAGGTGCACATTAAAATTACTGTAGCCAGAATTTCTTAATATGCAATTAAGTATTTTTAAAAATCTACTTCTTATTTTAATTTCTAATTCAATGCTTTTGTTTTATGCATCTTGATAAAAATCTGACAGTATGTTCCTTCACACATAAAATAGTCATATAAAAAATTTTGTAAAAGTTGCGGCTTGCTATTTGATTGGTGTTTTTAATTGCGGTCCCTGGCCTCATGTAAGTTGGAAACCCCTGGTCTAAACTGAGGGCTGCTCTTCGACCAATCTATGGGAACCCTATTACCCAGATTGCAGCTACCCCCTATATTTTGGGGGTCGGAAATCTCAATTCATTGAAAAAAAAGTGCTTAGTCTGAGAAAGTACGTTTTTGTGTCTGATTTCATAACTGAAAATATTGTCTGCACTTTTTAATTAGCATATTTGAGGTCACCCCCTCGAGCCATTAAGATTGAGTCCTAGCATGTGAAGATACAGTTATTAGATCAAAGGTTATTCAGGATGGTTCATTTTTTTATTTTGAGCACTGTAGATCCCAAAAATTTAACGAAATCAATATATAATATATAAAATTTACTTAATGCTCTTTTGTGTAAAGTAAGTCTGAAAATTATGGGGAGAAAAAATTTATTTCCAAAGATAAGACTTCAATTAAGAATTTTTAACGCAGTTAAATATAAATTACATAATTTATAAACATATAGTGTGTGTGGTGTAACATTGACCATGCATATGAAAGCAAAGCCTTTGTGTGAAATTGACATAAATGTTTAAATCTCAAGTAAAAGAAAGAGTGAATTATTAACACTTCTTAAGGCATAGGTAATGATGTNATCTGAATTCATTGAAAAAAAAGTGCTTAGTCCGAGAAAGTACGTTTTTGTGTCTGATTTCATAACTGAAAATATTGTCTGCACTTATTAATTAGCATATTTGAGGTCACCCCCTCGAGCCATTAAGATTGAGTCCTAGCATGTGAAGATACAGTTATTAGATCAAAGGTTATTCAGGATGGTTCATTTTTTTATTTTGAGCACTGTAGATCCCAAAAATTTAACGAAATCAATATATAATATATAAAATTTACTTAATGCTCTTTTGTGTAAAGTAAGTCTGAAAATTATGGGGAGAAAAAATTTATTTCCAAAGATAAGACTTCAATTAAGAATTTTTAGCGCAGTTAAATATGAATTACATAATTTATAAACATATGGTGTGTGTGGTGTTACATTGACCATGCATATGAAAGCAAAGCCTTTGTGTGAAATCGACATAAATGTTTAAATCTCAACTAAAAGAAAGAGTGAATTAATAACACTTCTTAAGGCATAGGTAATGATGTCAGGAATATACAATTAACGCTTTACTTTTGATTTAATGAAAATTTAAAAAAATATGATTGGTCACTATAGTTACATGGCTAAAATGTGTGAAGACTATTTAAAGTCGGCAGAATTTATTTTAAATGTAAAAGCAGAAGTTAAAATTAAATAATAGATTTCTTCCACATAGATTCATTTTTCAAAAAGATGAAAAGTATTGAAATTAAATAAGTGACAGGAATAATTAATTCTCACAATAAACTCTTTAATTACCTATAAAATGAAATTCATTGTTATTAAAAATAGGCAGAAAAACTGGTGTTTTAGATTTTTCTGTTTTATTTAAATTCACACATAAATAAAATATTTATCTTTATAAAAAGAAAATTAATGAAAATAATTATTTTACTAAGCTTTTTTATTAGAAATTTTATGTATTTATAATTTTTTTTTTCTTCTCTAGACTATGAGATTTCCTCCTAAATCATTTCATAAAGATCTTGAAACTGCAGAAGTAAGTATTTGTTTGGAATCATTTTATTATAGCTCTAATACTGATTTTGTTTAAGGTCATAGTATATATTTAATCAATTTAACTAAGAATTTTAAATTCTGATTAGTAAATTGTTTTATACATATATATTAGTTTATATGTATTGCGTGATATAAAAATTGTGGTTATAACCCCTAATCTAATTTGTCAAGCCTCAACTCTTATGTAAGTCAGTTGTATCTATTTTTGTCTTTTGGAAAACTTTCAAAAATGTGTATGTAAACTATGTTCTCTAAAAAGAAAAATATTTTTTTTAGTTAAAAACTTTCATGTACTTAGGAAATAACTTTTTCTTTTTTAAATAAATTTGGGGAAAAATTTTATCTGAACTTTTTTTTTGAAGTCAAATAGGGAGTTAAAAATCTAGTAACAACGCTAAGTTGTATAAACAGTAACACCTCGAAAATCTTTCGGTTATCTAAATCGATTATGAATCTTCAAATTCTGATTGTTCGATTAGTAAATTGTTTTATGCATATGTTTTAATTTATTCATATGTATGTAAATTGTTTTATACATATGTATTATTTTACATTACTTTTGTATTTTCTTAAGTAATTTTCGGAAAAAATTTTTATTTGAAGAATTTTTTTTTAAAAATCAAATCGGTAGGTTAAAAACTCATTTATCATGTCATGTAAAAGACAGTTTGCCAAAGAGAGAGCTATAAGCTAAACAGAATTCAGCTGAGGTATGAATTTAAAGCCTGGTTTTTTACCAACTGGTGATGTTTTTTCCAATACTGACTCATTTAAGTCAAAATCATTATGTCAAGTGCTCTTTTTTTTGTTCATTTTATTTTTAAATGTTTTGTTTAAAAGTTAAAGATAAACATTTGCTGATTTAATTGATAATGATATTTTGAACATTCAAAACTTTTGAACATATTTTTTTTATGAAATTTGAAAATGTAAAATTTTAACAATGACTTAATATGACTGATTCTAATGAGCGTATTGTGTCTGATTGGAGTATTCTATATGAAAGTAGAGTTTGGTTAGTTCTCCCGCCCAAGGATATGGGCACTCGACTGTTACAATGCAATACAATACAATTTGACAACCACAATAAATACAGTTACAAAAAAAATAACAACAACATTAGAGTACAGATGATTTCGTTACAATAAAGACAACTGAAGTCCAAAAGCATGAAAAGAACTCTTTGAAAGATGATGGTTTAATGGTTAAAAATAATTAGAAAATGTATTGATAGCCAAAATACAATAAAATTAATTTGAAAAGTAATAAATTGAAAAATAGGTATATAAAGCAACAATTAAAATCAAAATATCCAGGGCAATTCAGGATCCAATAAATATAAAAGAGCACCAAAAATATAAAATAAATTCTATATGGAAGTAATTTGACCTTTCTGGTGTGCAATATGATCCCTGTCAATATTTAAAAAAGTTTTTTTAGTTATAAAAGTTTGTTTTAATGTTATAAAAAGGCATTCTGAATCTGAAGAGCATAAGTCAAATTTTACAGCTAAGGAAAACTCCACCAGATTTCATATCAGATAACAAAAGCTAGATCGGCTTATCAGATTGGTTCACAAAAAAAATTATCTTTGGTAGCTGCTCATTATAAATCCTAACTATATATTTCATTCGCCAATATTGTAAAAAGTAGTTTTCAGTTTGCTTTTCCATGACAGAATATTTGGTATTATTAATATTTACATTTTCTTATGATCTAATTATTTTACTTATTTTTTTTTTCTTCTATAGAACAATATTTGCTGTTAAAAAGATCAAATTTTTTAAAACTAATGTTTTAATTATTATTTCTTAACTTATTTTTTCAGTTTTTTTCTGTACAGCAATAATTGCTAATCTTCTGTTAAAAAGTTTTTTTTTTAAGTCATTCAGTTAATAAAAAGAATCTCTAATTTTAAGAGCTTTGTTTCCAAGGTTCGTATTTGTCATATTTCTGATTTTTATATGCATATGCGTTTAACACACTTCATTTTCTACAAATACATATTTTAAAATATTGATTTGAATATTGGTTGAAATATTTGAATTTTTCTTTCATCTTCTTATTTTAATGAATAATGCTTGTTAAAAAACCTGCCAGAATCATTGTCCTAAACTTTTTGTGAATTGTCATTTTTTAAAAAAGAAACTTAGCAATTTTACATCATAAAATTTTTATGATAAATTCAGTGTTATACACATACTTATTATTTTTAGAAAATGCAGTGTCGAATCTTAGGGGTTGAGTTTTGTAGTTTCACAATTATTGACTTTTCTCCTGATTTTAAAAATAATCAATTAAAATGAACAATACAGTATTGGGTGATGAATTGGGGGAATCATCCAACAGATTAGCTTTCAACAAAAATGTTAATCTAGATATTTCAAGATAATTAAAGCTCTACTTTAAAATGAATTGAATAATGAGTTTTTGATCTTGTTACACAGTTTATATAAATATTGGGATAATTAACTGAATAGGTTTTCGATTGTAACAGTACTAAAAAAAATTTCTACATGTTTATCTCAAATTATTATCAGTTCTTCAGTGTTCCATTAAGGTAAATTTGTTGGAAACTTCAAAGTTTGTGTTTTGAAAAAGTAATTCTAAAATAAAAAACATTGTAGTTTATTATTCTTTGTGATAAAATTTGCATTTGTTATACTTAAACAGGGCAAATTATACTTTTTTTCCCTTTCTTTTTTAGTTTGTCATTTGCCTCTTTTTAAAGTAGTCTGCTAATTGTATATTATTCCAAAATGTCCTTATTTTTTTAAAACTTGCTAGGGTTAACAAGTTTATCGTGAGTTTATGTAAAAAATTGTATCATCAAAATAAAAAGCATTTAATATATCTAGTATATTTCAATAATAATCATAGTATTCTTTATTCATGCAATTAAATTGAGGGTACAAAGTAACCTTTTACCATTCAGTTTATGTTTATGTGCAAATAAAAATTTGCTTATAAATAAACTGAAAAAGATATAAAAATGTATCTTATTTTATTACTTTGTGACTGCAGAAAAAATTAAAAGATCTAGTCCTGGATTATAAAAAAGTTTCTTATGAAATGTGCATTTAATTTTGTGCTTTATTTATGTATTTTGATAGGATTTATTTCAGCTTATTTTTATTATGTTCCATTTCAATTGCTTTTTAAATTGAATCCTTTTTAGAAAAAACCAACTATTATAAGGTGGAGAAAAAGATTTTTTTACTGAAAGTGATGGACTTTGTTTTTCAAGCTTGCAATTGTTTTAATTAGTTTCCTGTTTACTTGCAATTTGTTTTTTAAATTAAATGTTCCATATTTTGTAAATAAAGCTTTGTTAAATAGCATAGTCACAGTTTTGTTACTTTACTTGGCTTTGTTATTTTTTCCCCTGTTCTTTTTATGGAAACAAATTTTTATGCATTAGTTATGAATTCGTATTGTTTTAGAATTCTCTTTAAAAAAAAACAACCTGTTTTTTAACCATTAATTTCTTTACTCATTAGTGGTTAATAAGTTATTGTAACCTGCTAATTGTTTGGTATGGAATTAAAGTATTTTGAAATATTGTTTCCATAATTTCTCTAACGATTTTTCATTGACATCTATAGAATAGTGAAGAAATTTTACGTCCAGGCATCTAGGAAAGTATAGAAAAAAATATATTTGTGCTACTATAGTACACAAAATAAAATGTCATTTTATAAGGGCATCATTAATGTAGGTAACTACATTGCTTATGCTCTTAATTTTTTAAAATTTAATTGAGGGACATAGTCTGAACAAACTTTCGATGATTTTCTGGCATCTTAATTGGAGTTTCAATATTGTTACTCTATCTTCTGGCAATCACATGGCGTTTTGTTTTGAATTATTCAGTCAGTAATGTTTTTTAATCTATGATCACATTGATTTTCGAATATTATTCAAATTTAGCACTTAATGGTGCATGTTAAACAATTGAACATATATACCATAATGTGCCTCAACTAAACAGTTAATACAGCAATCAGAGTATTAAGAGTAATAGTTGATCTTTCATTGATGTTTAATTTCACAAGAATTTCAAACAGATGCTTTGTCAATATCTGAACAGTTAAATTGGAGGCACTGGAATTTTGACAAGATATTAATAGTGCTTTTTTTTTTATACCACTTCTATGAACTTATCTGTGAGTAAAATAAGTGATCTAAATGTTAAGGAAATAAAACAATTTCGCCCTATCTCATGTCTGTACAGCTTTTTTGACAAATCTACCCCAGTCGATTTTGCAAAAAAAAAATATATATATATAATAATAATAATGACTGTTTAAAATTAATAGTCACAGAATTTTATTTTGCTTTTCGAATTCTGGTGATAAATTTGTATTTCTGTAAATATCTGATAAAGTTTATTAACAGTTAAACATATTTCTAGATTATTTTTTGAAATCATTTTTAATTACGCTTTCCTTTTTTAGCTGATTTCTTGAGCATTAGAACAAAATGGCTCATTTGAAAGATGGGAAAAATATATAAATTCTTAATTAAGAGCATTGAAAACTCTAGATGTTTTCTAGCAGCTTTTTGTTAAAAATAAGTACACTCCTGTTTACTATCATTTTCCTCAGAAACTATAAACCTCTTTATTTCAAAGGAAATGCCATTACTTTTTCCAAAAAGTGACATAATTTAAAAGCTCACTTATCTGTGCAAGTTTTTTAAATAATAAAAAACATGTTAACACTTTTTAGGCAAAACTTTAGTTTTGTTCTATTTTGAGATTTTTTTCATTTCAAGAATATAAGCTTGATATTAGTTCTGATAAATATATTCTAAATTCAATTATAATATTAAAGTAAAGCTATCAGAAAACAGCCCATTGTGAGCCAGGGAAGCCATGTAAGCTAAGGCTGTATATTTCTTGGCCATTCACATGATAATAGCAATGTGGTCAATATTGTACACAAACTGCCTTTACTTTGAGACAAGTTAGTACCAATCTATCAGAGGCTAGCTGCGCTACAAACCACAATCATCTGTAAATTTTAGAGGGTCATATACAAATTTTAACCCGCCTGTTTCCACACCTCTAACTATCTAAACAAATCTTAGTTAATTCAAAATTTTGCAAAAAATAGTGGGATGACAGAAAATGCTACTTGTTACATTTGCTTCCATTGATAAAGTTATAGGAACAACAAATACAGCGCCAAATATGATTTTTACTAACTTCTCATTTTACAGGAGCGCAGAGAAAGAGAGAAACAAGACATAGAATATGCTAAAGAAATGACAGATGAAGAAGACGATGGATTTCCTTAACTTTATAACAAATCTGTATAATTTTTATTCATGAGAAACATATTATCATCATGTTTGAACTTTATTCACCTACTGAATGTCCTAACATATATATATATTTAACATTAGTAGAGGCTATTAGCTGACTAGCTTGAAAATAAAATTTTCTATAAAACTTCTTATTTATTATTTCCTTCCTCTATTCATTTTTCAATGTGTATTATTTGCTTATTATAATCATTTTTAATAAATTGAGTTGCATATTTTTCTTTTTTGATTTGTGTAGGATTTATTAATAGTTGCGGGGTTGTATCCCGTGTGATGTAATTTCAGTACAGTACGCTGAAGTAGATATGGCTTTTAGATGCAGGGGTCTGTCCAGACATTTTGTGAAAGGTCCGTTTTTGTAAAATTGTGAAGAAATTACTCGTAGTTTGTGAATATAAAATAAGCGTTAGGTCACATTCTTTCAGCCAGGGTCCTGCTTTGTGCAAATTGTCCTGTTATTGCAAAAAACCTTTTCAAGGAGTTTTTAAATTGTAAAGAGATACAAGATTATGTTCAACACTGTAAAATTATAATTTTAAAAAAAATTTACATTTTAAAAGGTAAACAGCAATTACTGTTACTAAATTAGAGATGCAACATACAAATATTTGGTATTTAGCTTATACTGCTGAACGCAGAATATTCATTTCGAACGAATAAAGGAAGAAGCGTCTGCCGAAGACGAAACTTAGTTCGTTTACATCTGTCTTTCTCCCCCCTCCATGGGAAGGAGTTATTCGATTATCAAAGCAGTACTGAAGATACACGAATTTGTGAAGGATCCGATTCAAAGAGAAATTATTTTCTGAAGGGTCCGTTTTTAGTTTAAAATATTTTGTGAAGGGTCCGTCAACGGACCCAAATTTCTTCTAAACAGACCCTTGATATGGAGATCTACTGAGATTATTCACACTAACCTTGCTAAAGACATGAGGTCAAATTCCAAATCTACTTCAGAAGAACCTTGATGGCTCAGGGGATTGAGCACTCGTCTCCTCATGAGGAATCTAAGCGATGCCTGGTTGATACGAATTCCGCACCCACCACAGTGCGAAAAATAACCTCAGTGGTAGGCGGATCATGGGTTAGAGTCCCCTTGCTATCTGGCTAAATGTGGGAATTTTTTGTGGTTTTCCTCGCCATGCAATGCAGGTTAATTCCGTCAATAAGTTCTCCGCGAAGGTAAATTTTTCCTATTACTTGATCCAGGAGTTCAAAATGACAAGGCTGAGTTGAATTTTGGCAGTCATAAACTCAAAATTGAATTGACTGTTTAACGACAGTTATAAAATAAAATCTACTTCAGAGTACCGTACACAATGATGAATATGTGAAACATACACAGTATATGATTATGTACAGTACAAAAACGAAATAATAGAAACTTATAATGTAATGGTTGGGATCTTTAAGTACTAGGACTCAATCTTAATGGTTCGAGGGGGTGACCTTTTTTTTTTTTTACAGATTATGAATCCTGATACCATAAATATAGGAGTAATCGTTTCATTAGTTCTTACCGGTGAACAAAGGGATTTTAAAAATTTTACCCTCTCTGAAGGATAATTCCACATAAAAAAAAAAATCATTTTTTGTTTCATAATATTCGGAAAAATTTTATATGGCAAAATACAAAATTGGTGAAATAGTTCCTGAGAAATCGAATTTTAGTGACCTTTTTAAAATTCGATTTCTCACTATTGACCGCATTTGTACAAATTTTGTCTTACCGTGTAAAATCACATTCTTTAAAATAGGTTTAAGTTTGTAACTCTTACTATTATTAAATGTGAACAATAATAAATAATTATCTTAGGATAAACGAATTTTTGTGTAAAAGTCCAAATATTATAAATGGATCCAAACTTTCGACAGCTTTCCTGACCAAACTATTAGGACCCTATATTCCAGATTGCCTATATCAAGGAGATCAGGATTCATAATCAGCCAAGAAAGGGTAATTTTATAAGAAAGTATTTTTTTGTGTCTGATTACGTTTCTTAAAATATCGTTTGCACTAACAACATTTTACCAATTTGAGGTCACCTCCTTCACTCCATTTTGTTCACTACGCAAAAAAAAGATTATCAAGTTATATTACTATTAGTTATGTTACTATTAACCTATTCATGGTGGGGTAATGGGAGCCTGCAGACTTTAGCTGGGCATATTGGAGTGGCCTTCACGCCTTTGGTGGCTCTACGTAAAACTCCCGACGTACTTCACCCACTCCGACCAGGGTCACTCCCTCGCCACGTTGAGGCAGCCTGCTCGGACTTTGAGGGAGTTACAAAAGTTTATTAACAAATAAAGTGCCAATTCTAATGATTCAAAAGGAAAACATAAAATGTACTAATTAATTAGGGCTAACCATTAAGTTTTGATGACCTATTTGGATTTTTGGTCATCAAAGACGTGTGTGGTAGCCAAAATCTGGAGAAAATGGTCCAAATAGTTCCTCTTAATAAATAGTACAAAATTACTAGCATATTTGACGTCGCCCTGTTGAGCCATTATAATCGGCGCTTTTTGTTCATGAATATCCAATCATGTTTGAAGAAGTTATTCAGGGTGTTCTTTTTCTTATTTTGCGCTCAGGCATAGTTCGACTGGCCAATTAAAGGAGGTGATAAAAAAAGAAAATAAAAAACATCAAGAGATGGAAAGCTTATCATAGAAGATGATGGCACAAATCACGTTTAGAGGGTGAAAAACTCGTAGGTTATGAATCTATAGGATACGAAAGTTGTAAGTCTGTAGAGGATCTTAGGTGCGGATTGTCGTCATTTTATCACTTGCACACCTAGCATTTTCAAGTTCTTCCAGGAATCAATTTCACGTTATTGTAGACTGCAATGACGTCAGCGGATGGAGCTTGAAACAACTCGTATTAACCAAATCTTTTTGTTTAACAAGTTTTTTATTTTCTAGTGTTTTGTCAAAACCTGCTAGGGTTTTCACCATGTTCGAACCTATGGTTTGCGACCTCATGTTTTATGATAAATTTTCATCCTCTTGAGGACTATTATCACCAGTCTGAATTTGTCAGTGAAAATGTTAAAGTATAAGGATTGGTAATCGCAAATTAGCATTTAAGCAAGGAAAAAAAATCAAAAATGTTCTAAAAATCTAACAAATCACTTTTGAGAAAAGCAGATTTATTATGTATCTAAACCTGTTTTAATATATGAGGGGAAAAAGTAGTTTAAAGACTATTAAAAACACTTTCAAATTCT